CTCATTCCCCCAGCAAAATTATGTCCCAAGAGAAAACAACTGCTGATCTAAAATGAAATTTGTCATTTCCAGTTTTTGTACAGGGTCTTCACTAAAGGACCCCATCCAGGGGTAGAGGGGAAACAGTCCACACCCCCCCACCCAATAAATTCTACCAAGAACAAGAGAGAAATAGTGACTTGCAATGGTTACTTGACAAAAGTACTAAGCACAGACTTTATCTTCAAATTGGATAATCAATTTGCAGAACTACACAAGCTTTCTTTTCTGTCCTTTAACACTTGAAAAAACTGAGAGAAGGATTTAAGGACTTTGTTAATCCCAAAGAACCAGCACATGGATTACTGGCAATCGGATCTAAATGCAGTTGTGGAAACCAGTTAGAGAAAAGATTACTCTTAGGATAGGTCAGCAGGGCATGGGAACACAGCAATATTCGTGATGAATGTTCATCATATTATTTTGTACTAAAGCAGTCAATAGGGATTCTTTTTCTGTGCAATTCAGGTGCACAGCATTTCTGTTAGTACTGCCACATGCCAGCAGGACTTAGCATGGCATTCCAAGCACTAAAATCCCTACTGAAGAGTTAAGTGGGTTCAGGTTATTTACCAAGCCTGACCAGTTGCAGTGTCTGGGCACAGAACAACTGGAAAGGAGACACACAGTTGAGCAACCCACAGAAGAAAAGCTTTGAAAGGTGCCAAGCCCAAGGAGAAAGTTTAAAAAGACTTTTTTTTCCCTTATTGCTACCTCCTTTGTTAGCAATGGAAGCTGTGAGAAGGGTGAGTTTGAACTCGTGTACTGTACAAGCTGAATGTATAACAAGCTGAAAGGCAATTACAGTCCTGGATCATAAAGTCATACGGAATTTATGTTCCTGGTTTAAAATGGGAAACTGTCTTTAGCTTATCAACTAGCTGGCGCTGCTCAGTACACAATTTATATAGTCCAAGTGTAACTTGAATTGGGAAATATGGCTGTGCAAAGTTCTCATCGTCTAAGTGTTACCAGAGAGCTTTCCCTTCAGATAACTACGTAAAGAAAATACGTATATACACCTATGAACAAGCCATGGTGACAGGCCAAAGTACTAATGTCAGAAATAGCTACAAACTGCTAAATGCTTGCAAGTGGTATGGGCTGAATTTTACCTACACCGAAGCAGTTAAATATTCTAGTCAGTGCCAGGCTGAGTGGCTAATTTACTAAGCCTCATTTTTCTACTAGAGTCTAAACACACTGGCTGTTTTGAAAGCTTGAGGTTTGGTTTTCCTGTTCTCTTAAAGAGTCAGTTCTCCAAATGTCTTCAGTGTTTAACGACAAACATGGTGGGCTGTGACCATTAATAACCTCGCTCAACAGTGCCTTGAGCAGGTCTTCTCCGGAGGGGGGAAAAAAAAAAAAAAAAAAAATCCCAACACACACACAACCACCCACAAATGGCATTTTTATAATTTACTTAAACACCTATTTACTTCCTGCACAGTACACAGTAATGCTTGTTTCTTCAAATAAAACCGCTTTCAAATGACACATCATGTATCAGATGACATGATCTGTTCCTGGGCAGAACATCACATTTTCAAGTGAAACTTCAGTTTATGATCTATCAATAAGAATTAGCAGCACGTATATACAGGCAAATCTAGAGGTAAAGCTTAACAGTATGTTAATGAAAAATTTTGATTATCCTATAAAAACAAGGACCGATAACCCCACCAATGGCTAAAAGAAAATGACAGTTGCACACCTTTTGCAATAAACCGTGAACATTGATGCGATTTTTCCTGTATTGTGTTACTAAAATGAAATCCACAATCTTGTTCAAGAAAGAAATTACTGAGATTGATAAAGCTTACCTCTCGTAATGTAGGTTTGCCTTTGAAAAATTCTGTGTTTTTGCTACTTTTTGGTGGGTTAAATCTTAAATTTAGAAAAGCACATCCATTAGCAATAGCCTCTAAAGGAGCCGGCCCTTCGTATGGAAATCCGAGACCAACAAACAGCTGAAAAATAGAGAACAAGGACTATCTGAATTTTTGTTCTTTACATAAACTGAAAGCTAAGAGCTAACTTAAACAATAATGCATTCTAAATGTACCAGCCTAAAACCAATGTAACTTTAAGAAGAAAATGGGAGAAATTCAGCAGCTCACCCCCTCCTACCCAAGCAGTAATGGAATGTCCTGTAAAACACATTTGACAATGATCTTCTGTAATGAGCTGAGGTGGTTTTTCATGGAGCTCAGGCAACAACGGACCCTTTCAGTTATTTTTTGGGGGAAAAAAAGAAGTCATTTGGTGGTTTGATTGCTGCTGAAGTGAAACTGCCGGGGCTCTCTTGCAGGTACAGGCTTTACCGTAGCAACCTCATAGAACAGCTACACTACTGTTTCCCGCCCCCCTCCCACATGAGCTAACCTGCTGGGTTTGCCAACACGAACATGCTCCTGGCAAACTGATTAATTTTTCTAATTAAAACGGTAGATGGCAGCAAATGTCAACTGAAGACACTGTACCTAGGCAGCAAGCACTTGCATAGGACCAAGAGGGTTCAACGCCTCCAAGGTAAACTGAAGGAGGCAAAATGCATCACAAAGCTATTCTTACATCAGCCGAGACTACAGGTGCTCTAGAAAAGGCAGGGCTTTTCTCCAATGTAAAGAAACTTAATAGTTTTTCAGAGTTGTCAGGCTTTTATTTGGATCTTGACCCCTTTCCTGGCCCAACGTAATTAAAACCCCTGAATTAAATATAGGATTCTTCATCTTTATTTGAATGTCTGTGTAAAATGGGAGAATTACAAGATCCGATTTGTAACAGCAATTTCTCAGCATTGCTGAATGACTTAATGTGTGTGTGTATATACATATATATAGCTACTGCTTTTTTCAAGAAAATAAAGAGCTATCTTCATAACTCTTAGGATCATGTATTCAGGACGTACATATTCAAAGAGGTCAAATTATACTATTCTGCATTAAATTTTCTGCAACATGGAAGTGAATCCTAGTAACAGAAGATTCAAAACTGAAGGCCCTTTCTAGGAGCCGATCTTAACATTGTAGTTAGTAGTGCACAGGCATTGCAGCATCAATCCTTTCCGACTCATGCCAAAACCAGTATAAATTCTGAGTTGGCTCATTTTAAAAAGAAAATTAGCACCTCTCAGCATAGTTGAGGACATATAATTTTCCTGCATGGAGCTGAATGTTGTTATGTCAATTTTCAGGTTAAAAAAGTTGCCTACTTACAAAGAGTTTCTCAGCTATCTCGCAGATTTAAATCTTACAGGAAGCTCTCCGGTGGCTGATAAAGAAAAGATCTGGAAGACTACCTCCACTCAAGCTAGATGATCTAAATTTGTTTTTTATATACGGCATAAGATACATTACCTTTCAGTCAGAAAAAAGACATATTAAACTTCATCTTAAAAGAAGCTTAATAAAGAAACGTAATCTCTTGAAAATAATGAATTACAGACATGAAACCATTTCATGCAATCTGCACAAAGATTGTTATTTATTTAAACTACTCCTTAGTTCAGGCAGAAAACCAGCTGAGAAACAGCAATTAAAACCATCTGAAGTATCAATTCTCCTATGATCCCGTGTTTGTCTGTTATGTAGAGAATGCTGGTTTGTTTGCTTCATTTTTCACTTCTTAATAAACTGCTGCTGTGAGCTGCTGAACAGTTCTGTGTCTGACTGGTCCGTTTATTTAGGAGAAAGCTCCACGGGGAAAGAAACATGGTTTTATGTTTTGACAGCACAGAGCACACTGTCAACACTTAATCTATAATAAATAGCTTACCACCTGTTTCGCATCCATTTTCCAACCTTACCTCTAAGCAGCACCACACCTTTGAAGAAAGAAAGAAGGATGTGTCTGATGGCTAGAACAGTGCATGTGTGTGTGCTGCCTGGTGGCCTGAGGTTCCAGCCTGGCTCACAGCTGCCCGCAGCCCGCCCAGCTCCTTCTTTCAACCCTCCAAAATCTTCCATCACATCGTCTTCACCAGGTCAGCTGAAATGCCCAAACTGAATCTAGACCCTGCTCCTGAAAACCGCCCTTTATTAATGTTCCTTGGTTAGGGAGCTAAGTATTTTTGTATGGTATAAATGGCAAAACTGAGGAGTACCTTAATTGCCTCAAGAAAGTCACTTTCGTTATGATTAAAAAAGCAAGCATTAGAGAACACAGGTCATTTCTGTAACTCATCCTTATGATGCTCTAATTTGCTAATCCTTTGAATTACATGCAGCTTGTTATTTCTAGAAAGGCTAAAACAATCTGTCAAGGTACTTCCTAAAAGTATGTAACAAATGCTGCAAGTCATTAATTGAAAAAGAAGTGAAAACAAAGAAAAAAGCAGAAATAACAGGCAACAATTTTCAGGTACCAGTGAAGCAAGCATCCATCTTCAGTACAGCTGAGGCTGTGTGGAAGACAAGGCTCCCTCCCACAACGTGATAAAAATTTAGAACAGGCTATATTTCCACTATTTTGTGATATAAATGCACACTGTTGCCTCCACACAAGGTTGCTGACTACGGCTTTTAGGGTACCCTCTTACCGGACACTGTGCCTGGTAACACAGTCCACCATGGGGCAGCTACCTTCACCCTACGGCTGAAGATCTAGAATGCAGAACTCCAAATCTGATGATGTTGGCAACTTAACTGTGGGTACACATGGTTCAAAAATGTCAGCCCTGATCTTGCTTTGTTAGCTGCAGCAGAATTGCTGTGCGGAGTAGAATTCCTTTATGCTTTACTGGTTAATTAGTGCTTGAAACCATTTCAATTTCTGCATGTGAGCATTTTTCTCACCTTTCAAATATTTTTGAAAGCCAGAATGGTTCTTTTTCATACAGTGCTTTAAGCGGGCGCACGCCACAGTGGATGCTGTATGCTAGTGCCCCACATAACGAGATAATTGCCAGGAGGAGTTTACAGTATAAAAGTATATCTAAAGGAGATAACAGCAAATAAATACGGATGTAAAATGATGATGGTAATAGCACTGTGGTTTTTTTTAAAAACCATTTCCTTGTTTACAAGGTCTGCTACAGGCGTGCACAGGTGTGCCTATGCCTGTAGGTCTGCATGAATCAAAAAAGGGGATTCATATCTGCAGTCTCACTTGCCCAACTTGAGTAAAGCAGGCGATGAAACCCTTAAGCAGGAATACTTTGGTTTTCGTAAGAAAGGCTCCTCAGGAACCTTTTCTGCCTTTGCAGTGAACTGAACCCCTGGTTTGAAATTTCACGCTTTTGAGTTGACCACCCAGCATCAGACCAGCCAAGATACCATTCTTTTCAGATTATAATGTAGGCAGTCCTTTCACGGTGTAGTAGCTAAGTGGAAACTCCTCTGACATGAAAAATGCTTCACAACCACTCCTGTGAAAAAACAGTGGGGTTTTGTTTTATTTTTTGGAAACCACTGACTTTCAGTTGGCATTAAGCAATTTATTTGTGGAGTTTACGGCACCAGATCAGACTATTATTTTACGGCACCAGATCGGACTATTATTAAAATGAGTACTTGAACGAACAGTCTTTCTAAATTATAGCCAAAAGTATAAAATAAGAAGTGAATGTTTTACTTCATCGGCTGTAATTCTGACTAGCTGAATATTTACGAGAAAAATTTCATATTGCAGAGACTAAATGCTACGGTTCCATAAACAGGACTGTTTATCTTCTCCTCTCCTCTCCCCTTTCCAACATTACTGCATTTTATCTAATTTATTCCGTTGGGTTGGTAGGTTTATCACCACTTTTGTATGCCTCCTTACTGAACTTGCATATTCTCTTCTGAACTACAGAAAGAGAAGTGTAGCAAAGGCTGGTTAACTATCTTGATATATTTTTCTCATGAATATAAAATACTTTGTGGAAAAGTCAATCCTTTTGTGATTGAAACAACTTCAGAATAGAATCACTAGTTAAATGTCTTTTCAGCTGATTTTGTGAAGTGTGTGGAAGTAAAAAATATATTACTTCGTAAAAGGCAATATGGGGGAAAAAAAATTTCTTTTCCTATTTCTGCTTGTCCAACACTGCAACGGGATTTCTCCCAAACTGTCTAAACAGGGTGTTGCTCCTGCTTTTATTAATCACCATTCAGAAATTGTAAATTCCACTTAGTAAAAGTATTTTGGATACCCTCAAAAATCCACAGTGACTCAAAGTAAAAAGTTGCATCCAAAACTTTCTCGAAAGGAGGAATATTTCTCAAGAATTCAGTAACTGGTTCTTCCAAGAGAGTCTGGTCCAACTCCTCCAGCTGCCCACTTGGCAAGAAGCCACAGAAGTTGGCAGGAAGGCTGCCAGCTCGCCTACCCTATTTTCCTCTGATGTGATGAATGGCTTTACGTCTTCTCATTAGGAACTGTTGACATGTCTCGTTTTTGTCATGCACTACACAGCTGAACTAGCCATGATGAATCTCAAACAGGCCCCTCCTGCCTGGAAAACGCACTTGTTCTGAAATGCATTGCTTTATAATACACACCAAAATGAAATGGCAACTGCATGCTTTTGAGCATAACTGTGTCCTATACCGACTCGTGCAGAGAGACCAAATACATTTTGGGAATGCAAAGCTCTTATCAAGAATCATGACTGAGCCGTCACCTATCAGTATTTTGCTAAGGGCAAGATGAAGCAGTGCAACATAAACTGACACTTCTGAGTGCACTGAACTGTGTGATTTGTTAAATTATTATTTAGCTCCGACTTTCTGAAAACTAGATCATTTGTCAGCTGACCTAACAAAAACTTGCTGACACAATGTTGAAATCACAAGCAATGAAAGACAATCCTTGCCCTTGGGTCTGAAAATATATATTTAGAAAAAGAAAAATCTGAAAGTTTCTGGAAGCTTAAAGACAAAGTTTGTTGCTTGGAGACAGCAAACAGCAGGCCTAGATGGTTTAAGCGAGCATTGTACCCACAGATGTTATCACGCCTGAGTTACGGCTCCGATTACGCACATACTTTCAGCACACTGATTGTCTAGTGACAAAACCCCATAACTAAATTCATTATGGGGCTCTGGTCACGTTGCCTAGCAATTAAAGTGATTACGATTAAAAAGTGTCCTTGAACATCACTGGATGCATGTGCACACATGCACGAGGCTCCTCAGGGCACAAAGCTCCCATTCAAGTCAGCCTGATTTTTGTGGAGAACCTGCACTTATTTTAGCAATTCAATCCATGATCCATTTGATATAAATACAACTGACCCACACGTGCAGCAGATAGCCAGCAGAGACAGGTGAGTGGTGTTTTATGCCTAGCTATGTTCAAGTATTGTCTCCTAAAAGATACCAAATCCAAAACTGTGAATGTATAGGCAACAAGACAACTTGTTGACCTATGAGATACTAAACATGAGCTAGCAAAAAAACCCGACATAAAAAACAACCCAAAAATCCACCTGCAACTGAAAAAGTCCAAACAAATTAGATGGTAAATCTCAGTTTCCACTTTCAATCTCAGGATGCTGCTGTTTTTCTGTTAAACTAGATTTATTGGAATAAGTAAGTATTAGACAGGAATGATAACCAAAATTCATGATGCAGTAAGCCATATTTAATTTCATTTTGTTGCAACATCAGAAGTACATTGCACTCCCATTTGCCTGACAATAGTAAGTCTTAGGAGAAGCAGATGGACTTTAAAACATTTATGATCAGTTCAATGTTTTGTTTGCCTGGCTGCATCATAAATAATTTCCTTAAAAGGAAAACAGCTTTTGTCATTTGCAAATCTGCTAATAAAAGTCCAGAAAAGCCATATGAAAATACTGTTTGCAGACTTAACAAAAAAAAAAGTCTATTAAGAAAGATTGTATCAAAAAGATAATGTGATTAAAAAAACTGGCTTCCTGATACAGGGTTCTGAAACACATTGATGTCTTTCTCAGTGCCATCTACTAAAAAATGCAGCAAATTCTCAAAGGATTTTCCTCAATGTTAAGAAGAAAAAAAAAATGCACAAAAATAGCATAGAAAATCATTAAAATCTAAAATGCTCGTAGGACTCTGAAAATAAGTACAGTGCAGGTCCATGCTTTCACAAAAATATAATTTGTGAAAAATAAGCAACTTGCTCATTTCAGGAGTACTTCACAATCACAAGATAGTATCTTCCATCTGATATTGCAATTACTACTCAAAAACTGAATGAAACTAGTCTGGCTATTTCCTGTATCACAAACCCCATATAACTGCACTGTGCTGAGCTGCATAATATGCATGTATCAACTTGAATTTGTCCTAAATTGAATGTGTCCCTACACTGCATCTTAGAGCACAGCAAATGTAACCAATAACAACTAGATAAGCTATCTACTTAACATTGAAAATCAAGCTTTTTAGTGTAATACATGTAAGATGGCTGATAAAGAATTAGAAGACGACTTACACAAAGGTAACTATTATTATGAACTATGCTTTGTAAATTCTAAGGACTTCAGTAATTCTCTAAAAAGTCCATTAGCTTATTTTACTATTCCAGTGACTAGAACACTTTTTTTTTTTTCTCTCCCCCAGAAAGAAGTCACTGTTTGTGCTTGGGGTTATTACAATGTCAATATTCTTCCCACATTAGTACTATGATTAACACACTGATTTCATACTCCACACAGGCAAAAGCTGTGTAATCTCAGTATTATCTATGATGAAAGTAAATGTTGACTTTTTAATCTGCAACTTTATGTGTATCTGTATGCATCAAGTACATACACACAGTGGTTGCCTTTAAAAAGTCATAATTTGCCAACAGCTGTCACACAGAGATGTCAATTACCATCATTTTCCCAAATATTTCAAAAAGGAGATCTCTGCAGTCGTGTGGGAAGACTGGGAGGTGCTTGCTTTTTTCTTTTCTTTTTTTAATAGGTTCTTCTGTAGAAGTGCACAGCAAGAAACTATCAACAATGGGGAGTAAGTGGTGCAGTTCCACACATTTTGCTAATTTTAAACACACAAACCACTTCTTTCACCAACTGAAAGTTAAACATCCTATTTAAATGTAATCTACCAACGTGTTTTAATGTTGTAAAATGCCACAAAGATTATAGGAACGGCATAGAAAAACCCACAAAGCATTCTAACTATGGGGACAAAAGCTTATTTATTTCAATGTATATACTGTCCCTCACCTTAAGTTCCCTTCACTATGGGGCCACAGGCAAAGCGCACTCTTCTGCTCGCTCTCTTTGCACAACTGAAGCAGAGGAAAGAACTGAATGGCAAATGCAGTGCTTGCCTTTCTTCTTTTGTCCCCAGAGGGTAGGGTCACTCTAGGTTAAAGTCATTGGTAGGGCAGAGCAAGCATGCCTACCGTACCGCTTGCAGATATTACCTAACTTTCACATCAGGGATGTAAAACAAAGCACATTCTCGGCTGATAATCTCCTTGAGCTGAGTATCACATATAAGAAAATGAAAAATGCACTCATCCATGTTTCTCAAGCTGGTTGTTAAATGTGTCTGTGACTGCAGGTTGTCATCCCAATTTTCTAATATTAGCTGTCAATCCGGAAAACACAGACATGATGAAGAAAGTATTCTTAGCACACAGAAGACAACTTAAGCTCCTTTACATTTGGTCATTTATTTTTCCAATGCTTTTAAATTAGGAGCCCATTCATAGGAGGTGAAATGCATGCACTTCAGATACTGTCTATCTGTAACTATTTTTGCCACTACTCCCTCTTGACAAACTTACTTTCGTTTCTCTCAGCAGAAACTGCAAATCCCGCCCACTGAGTATACCATGGTTTTTTACGTAGCCAGGAATATAAATAGTGCTTGTCCCGTGAACGGTTCCGTGCACTTCCATATAGGTGTGGATGATGTCCAGATAAGCCTTCTTATCCTGTAAGAGCAACAATGAAATATTTTCAGTCTTTACACGTTTCAAGCAGTAGTGTTCAATCAGAGCTGGTTTTCATGTCCTGTACCACAAAAGCCAGAAAGATAAGTTCACTCATTCTTATATGATTTCTATAATAGTTGATCTTTCATTACATTATTAGTTTTGTTTTCTACTAGATTGGAAGAAAACTACAGGTTTTTTATTCATAGTATAGGTATAAATAAATCAATACCAAGGTCCTATTCATTTCTAATTGGACAAAAACCAGATCACCATCAGATAGCTGTAATCTCAGCATGCCTAAGCAATACTCGGCCTAAAAATGCTAAAAACCCTACTTTGAAATATCAAATTTTCACTCTGTTTTTGTCAGAGATGTGAAATAATTGTTGTTCATCATCTTTGTGAAAAAAAGGGTGACTCTCAGCTTAGTAAGATGCTGTCTTGCCAACTGAATAACTGAATACACATCTTTATCTAAGTATCTAAATACCTAGTATCTGAGTCCCATGAGATACCTACAAATATTTCACTTACCTAAAGTTTTAAAAGCATTTTGGAAAAGACCCAGGGAAGAGTAATGGCTTTAGGGTTGCATTTAAAAAAAAAGAAAAAAAAAAGTACACCATCCTAGTTTGCAAACAAGAATTACTTTGATTTTCAATGCCATATGTTTTTTGAGTTTTGAAGACTACTAGCATTCCAAAAGAAATTAGCTGTAGACTGTATTTACAGCCAGTACACAGCACAGATCAGAGAGACCTTCCCTCAATATTTGCACATAGTCTTAGTAATAGCTCTAAAATCAGGCAACAAGTTTCTGTACTTTTTGGCAGCAAGAGAGTTTTTAAGAATTCTACTTTCACTCACTATTGTTGTCATGTAAATTCTGTACACTGTTCCTCCACAGGCCTGTGTGAAAGCTGGCCAACAATTTTACTGAAGTTCATTCAAAGGTCAAGTAGACCGGTGAAAATCCTATCTTTTCAAATCGTGGAGGAGCAATAAGGTATCAGGCCTAGGTGAATGAACACTGTCACTTCTTAAAACTTCCCTGCTAAATTAATTCTTGGTATACATTTGAATACACAGGGTATTTAATGTCACACAACAACTGGCTTCTAGCTTTAGCTTGCTCTACTGGTGATACTGGTTGTGCTCAAGCAGGTGGCCTGCCTCGTTATTAAATCGCCCTGTTCTGGCAGCTATGCCAAGGCTGCACCAGTCAGACAATGTCCTGGGCTAAGCATTATATAAAACAGCCGACAAATGGAGACAAATGGGCTTTCTTGTTTGATGTGGTTGCTGCTTCTGTTAATTAACACAAATTATTTAAAAAAAACCTAAAAGCTTGCTCCATTTTTTATTCTTCCTTTTACTTCAAATTGGAATTGCTCTGAGAGAAATGTTCTTCTCATTATTTGTGAGGTAGCATAATCAGAAACTGTTGAAAGCTCATATACACTGTTAAGAGATAGTCCATTGCAGAACTTTTTCTTTGCAAATATGCAGGAGCGATATAAATGGAGTAGCCTGGTCCTGTTTCCAGAATGCCAGAATCCAGCGGGCTGTCACTAGAGGCACCTTAATCCTGCCTGGCTTTCAGTACAAACAGAGCCTGTGAGTTGGGCTTTAGCGTTCCGAACGGGAAGAGAAGGCACTGAAGCACAGGTACTACTGACACGATCTGTCTACAGTAAGAACACTAATGCACCTGCCTCAGATTTTATTGTCTCATATCGCACAAACTGACAACACGAATGCACTCAAACTCAAGAAAAAGATGAGAAGCAAGCAGCTAGAAAGAACAAAACCACGATTACCTAAAATTGCACTTACTTATTTTAATGATTTCATTGACAATTTTACAAACCTGTTACAGGGTATTAGCTGCTCTAAAATAAAATATTTGACATGAAAATTATTTATTCTTTACAATCTTTCTAATGGTTCCTGAGCAACTGCATTATTGGCTGTAGGACTGTTGAAGATTTTATATAGGTTCAAAAAGCAATTACGGAAGAAAAAGCCATGAATCATTATTGAACAGAGACATGCAACTTTTGGCCCAAGAAGTCCATGAACCACTTGACTCTGGTGGCTATGAAACATGTCTGATTTCGCATTCTTCCTTACACATCAAGTTTCAGATATTTTTGGAGTCAGAATACTGGACTAGATAAGTCTTTGATCTGAACTGGCCTTGCTGCCATCTTATTATCTTTATTAGCTCATTTTCAAAGACGAATGTAAAATGGACCAAAAGAAACGTAACATTTTCACACGTCTCCTGTTCATATGTGATGCCAATAAAAATCTAGTGGGATTCTGAGAAGTATCTGTAACGTTTGTTGCTTAAATTCTGCTGGAAACACTCTTTGATACATACACAATGGACCTTGAATTTAGCCGAAAGTATTCCCCAAACCATCTTGTTAATAACAAAGTGAATCTTCCTACTATATCCATGTGCTTTCCTTTATATAAATACCAGCACTTGATCACTACAAAAGAGGGAATACAGGATTAAAAAATAAAAAAGGAGTATAGTAAGATAGGATGAAAAGAACAGGCTTCCATGCTGTATTTACAGCAGTATTTTGCGGGGGGCAGAGGGAGGGTTTTTACTTAAACCCTTAAAGTTACAAAACCATGTAATAAATATTACTAATAAATTCAAATTAACTGAGCAGACATACAAATTATACTTAAAATTAATATATAACCAATCAATACAATTTAGGAAGACAAAGCAAAAGCAGTGATAAAATCAGTATATTTTTATGCATGTGCAAACAAAACATTAAATTAACTATCCATAACCTTAATTGGGAACACTACTTAACCATATGACTGAATTCTGTCCTGATTCAGAGTCTAAAACCACAGATAAAACATTTAGTATCCCAAAGAGCATCAATTCTTCCATCCATAATATTGAGTAAAATAACAGACTTTTAAATGGTGTCGCTGGGTTTCCACCTCCACAAGACAGGATAACTACTGCAGACTGCGCGGTAGAGTCTATTGAAATGATTTTTCGTCACAAAGGAAACCTTACAGATAGATAGGCATAAGTAAAGGGATCAATATGTAAAAATTTCATTAATTAGTTTTCAAACCACAAGAGTAAAAACATGAAAAAACAACACACACAAGCTGGGAAAAATCTTTCATCCCCCAAAGGGCAACCCTCTTTCTTTTAATCAAATGAAATTTTTAAAGAACAAATGGAACCGAGAGCAGCATCTTCCCTTTGTTCCCTGTACATAAAACAATTGTTCTTAATTTTTCCAAAAGTCTTTCTTTCTGAAGGAAACAAACAAAAAGCCCAACCAAAAATGCAGAAAACCCAACCCACAAAACAATCACTCCTTTATTCCCTTATTCACTTTGAGTCAAAAGTTGCTGCTTTCATAACCATCGATGAAGTACCATAAAAATACTGTCAGCACCTTATACCTTACACAAATCTCACTAACATTTGTCTCGTTTTGCATTTAAGTAGTCCTGAATTTCCACATTCCTTGTAGAAATGTGTTATTTTGGATCATAAAAGAATATATTCCCATAAGCCACTTCACAAAAATAATCAGGGCACATAATTCAATTCTAAACATTAAAAACATTGAATTAGAAAATGAGAGAGCATAAATATGGCATTTATAAATGGGAAGGCTACAAGTAAATAAATCAAGAAATACAGTTTGCAAACAAAATATCAACATTCCTTCAGCTGTTAATCCACTTCCTGAGTTTGCTTGCTTGGGTGCATATATTAATATTCTTTTATCTTAAATCATTTGATGGTAAACTCCAGATTTTTACTTTCTTCAAAATTAATTCAAAGAGAAAAGATCATGGGCTGCTGGCTAGTAATGCAAAATCAGCAATCTCTGCAGAGTTTGGATCAGACTGTGCTATTCACCAATGTCTGCTGTCCATACTGCAAATCTAGACTTTGGGCATGGAAGATAACCACATTAAAAAAAAAAAAAAAAGGCAAATTATTTCTCCTCAGAATCAAAATAGCCATACAAACATTTTTTGAAACAATTTTTCAGCAGCTAAAATAAACATGCCATTCTGGAAAGTACTTCTTGTTGATCCGTTGACTACAGAACTGTTATTACTGTTCATCAATTATTTCCACCTACTTCTAAAAGATAGGCCTTTCTCATCAAAGAAATCAAACGACAACTGTCTGATAAGTCTTTCCATAAGACAATGCTGACAAGAAGACGACACAGTCTGAAGGGCTGACATTTTAAGTTTGGTGGGTGAAAAATTTAAGTATAAAATCTACCAAAATACATGCTAGAAACACGATGCATTAAGAACTGCTTTTAGTTTTCTTAATTACCACCATCTACCATATCAACAACTCTGCTTTACCATCAGTTTGCCAGTCCAAGGTTATCACAGTATTTTGCAATTTTAGACCATCTAGGTACCCTCAGAGAACACCACAAATTCAGCACTGAATGAAACTAAGCACCACATACGCAGAACTACAGGCCAAGGACATTACAGAAGAGCTTGATTCAGAGCCCTAACCTGGTTCATGGGTTGAAAGTTCAAACTGCAAAATTTATCTAAAACAGCTCATATACCCAGTCACATTTTCTTAATATTGAAGTCAGAACACAATGATTTCATAAAGCTTGGACAAATGTAACACAGAAAAATAGGTACTGGCAGAGATCTTTGTGCATGTCATAAATGCATACTGTTAAGTCCAGCAGTCCTAACATCTGGGTGCTTATTTGCCAAAGTGTCAAGTCCAAGGTAAGCCAAAATGCAGTGTGCATATACAGCGTATAACAGTGGAGATTTGAGACACAAACATAAGATTGGAAAAATCTCTCTTTTCAAGAAGTGTCACACTCTCAAAGACTTTTCAAGGCATCCTGGAATAATAAAAATCCTGTCTACCTGGGAAATTAAAAGACAGCACGAATGCTGGAGAAATCAATGTACAACAATATTAAGAGGATTAA